ACACGTATGCAAGCATGAAGTCACGATCGGTTTTATTTAGACGTTTTACTGACGGACCTTTCCTGTATAAAAAGGGCACACACAGGATTACATGACCAGGAAATCCACCGTTATTTGTAATTGCAGTACACATGCATATATATACATTTATTACAGATCTATATAATATGTCTGTTCACAACCGCGAAAATAAGGTACATGTATTACAGATCTATATAATATGTCTGTTCACAACCGCGAAAATAAGGTACATGTATTACAGATCTATATAATATGTCTGTTCACAACCGCGAAAATAAGGTACATGTATTACAGATCTACAGTATATAATATGTCTGTTCACAACCGCGAGAAAATAAGGTACGTGTATCTTATATAGTTTTATTGAATTTGCAAGTTGTATTGCTATTACAAGTACATGTACGTTGCTTACAGTCATAGGAAGGGCCCGTGCACAATCTTAAACGTAAAAGGAGACATTTAAATAATTCCGTATAAATTCCCCGTATCTTTCTCGATACAGTTTCTGTCGATTCGCTTGTAACGTTGATTGCATATTAGTCCATCAGTAAAAAAAAAAGAATTGTTCCAAAACTTAAAACTGAAATCACGCGAATATAAAAAAAAATGTTTTTGCCGAATATCTATTTTTTTTTTAAACAAATGTAATATAAAATTATACAAAGCTTATAGTTCCTGTTCGTCTGAATGCGTGCACATTTAGGAAAACTCAGTTAGGCTTCTTTTTCTGAGTGGTTTATTGATTTCCGTTCAATAATACCCCTAAAGTAGTCAGATTTCAACCAAAAATGTTCACATATATAAAATGGCAAGACTCGGTTTGCGGTTTTGTCGCCAATGTGACGCATACATGATTGCACAAAATTAATGAGGATATTTCATTTCAATTGATTAGATCGTGCAATAACCGTTCAAGGAAAGGTTCAATTTCACTCAAATTAGGTACGAGTATTAATGGCAAGCCTCACACTAGGTTCGATCGCCGATGCGTTGTTATTGAGGCTACTTAATTCAGATTAGTTTATTTTGATAGATGTACGTGCAATAGCTGCCCTAAAATGTTTCGATTTGTATGTGACAATGGCAGACATATTGGTAGGGTAAGCATCAGTAAAAATATTCATTTATTTTCACCATGGCACCAACTTCATTTACTACTTTAGGGTGGTCGGGTTGTGCAGTGGATAGCGCACTTGTCTTTCACCAAGACGGCCGGGGTACGATTCCCCGATTGTACGTGAAAATGTATGGGGTCACCTGCTCGACCACTTGGGTTTTCTCCGGGTACTCCGGTTTCCTCCAACACTTAGACCCCCTGAGCTCTAACATCCGGGCTAACACGAGTGATTAATATAAGTCGACATAGCTTGTTTCACAGTTGTTGTAAAAATAGATAAAAGTTGTTTTTTTTTCACTTTCTCCCGGCTTCGATCCTTGACACTCGTCGCTATTTCTGAATGTGCATTCTGTGAAATGTGAAAAAGTGACCCCGAAGGAATCCTACCCGAGAGAAACTTTTCATGGTAGAACTAAGAGAAAATGGTACTTCTATGTGTTACTTTTCAATGGCTATGGGTCATTTTTCTACGGGTTCCCGGGTAAGATTTCTACATAGATTTTGTACCCCGGATAGGTTTTCTACGCAGGTAATTTGTTCACGTTACACCCGCTACCGCTAATTAACGAATGACAACCTTGGTTGGAGATGACAACAGAAACGCTTACATTTACCTGTGTGATTTATAGACACAAACTACGACTATTCGATTTCTGTTTGGCTGATACCTGCTTTGATGAACTTTGAATAATGGCGAGTACGTAACCTCGAAATACCTGCAGGCTTTACCCTCGAATATTACGTTTTAAAATTCCGTCTTTGCGTATTGCAGAGTTATCTGCTCTTGGGAGCAGGTATTGATTGTTACGTCACTTGTTTGTGAGGGGAACGTCATCAATTTTTGAGAAAACAACGTAATTTTCTCGCACAAACCAATGACGTAACAATCAATACCTGCTCCCAAGATCTAGAGAAGATAACTCTGCAATACGCAAAGACGGAATTGGCCAGGAGTGGAGAGAAATAAACAACAAAAAATCTGCATCGGCTCCACATTCAACATTTACACGGCAAAGACTAGACGAAGCAACAGGTCATACACAGGTGCGAGAATCTGATACAAATTCAGGAATGATATGATTCACTCATATTAGAACATAAAGGAAAGTGTTGTAAGTTAAAAGTCGGGATTCAAACAGAATTTGGCAATCAACAATGGCAGAGGGCTGATACTCCCGTAACAAAATAGAAAAAAGGAAGATATGACCGTCAGAGGTCGACCTAGATGACCAAACAAATTACAAGGATATGTTGGGAGGGGGGTNGGGGGGAGGGGGCATAAAACTTCTGGACAAAGTAAAAGACACAAAATATGTTCATGTTAAAGTACAACACACTACATCAACATCAGCGTGAAACAACCAAATAAAATATGAGAGAAACTCAAAACCAGAAAGGAGAATGGAGAAAATGTAAGGATCAGAGGTGATGACATAACAGTTGTCAAATAATTCAAGGGCCAACCAGAAAAAAAAGGAAATTTAAAGCAGCTAAGAGCCTTAATATAGGCAAATACGAAATCACTAGCGACCAGTAGGAGTATCACAAGCAAGGCAGAAACAGACCAAAAAAAAAACCCAAAACACTGTCCTACTGGGCTGTTGGGTAGATATTGTAATAGGCCGAGTGAGCGAGAACGGAGACATGTTCATAGAAAAGACACAGTTATAAATGGAATTAAATTTAGCCATGATAATGAGGTCGGGCATGGATAACCAAGAAATAAACAACGACATAGAAAAGACAATGATAGTAGACCTCACTGAAAGCATCCTCTAGGAGGCACGTTTTACTAAGTAAACATCATAAACATTCGGAAGGCAGACACTATATATCAGTCATTTATACAAATGCCGATAGTTCGACCCATGAACAAGCGCAGGGAAATTGGATTAATTGTAGCGAATAAAAAAACGTCCATAATAGCCACAACTGAAGAACTAAAAAAAAACTACAGGAGACCGACAAAGTGGGGAGTTAGAAATAGATGATATGATCAATTTACTAATTCATTAAATGTAACTATATAAAGGGGGAGATGGAATCATATATGTAAAAGATTCTCAGAGCCGTAAATAAATTACTTAGTGCGAGATGAAACAGCAAAAAGCAAAAACCTATGCTAACTGAATGCATACATATTATATTTATAAGTACTGATAACTCAAATCAACTATGGGCCCTATTCAATAATATATACATGTATATATATATATAAGGAAACCATCCATCTACTGATACTGGGAGATTTCAACTTTAATATGAAATCCCAGAGGGATCTTGGCGCCCAACATCGTTGCATCTTCATTAGTTCTATATGTCAGTTCGATCTTTTCTCTTATCTGTTTGATCGAGTCATGTAAACAGCAAGTGCACCTTGAAGTAACTTCATTTTGATCTAAGCTTCATACTGCTTTTTATAAAACACGAACAACCTTTAAAATGACTTTGTCGTTTCGCATATATACTAGTACAGTATTCAGACTCAATGTGAAAGAAATATAACCGATCATTTCAATATAATATATATGTTATGTATGACTGTATGAGAAAGATTTGTTAAATACTTCCTGGGAAATATTGATAATTTATTATTCTAGATATGTCAAAATCCAAGATGACCGCCTGCGACCATCTTCTTTTTGCAATCAGTCGCATTTTAATCCATGCACACTTACAGACCGAAATTTAAGAAATATGTCAAAATCCAAGATGGCTGCCTGGTAGCCATGTTGTTTATTCAGATCAGTCTACATACGAAGCATATAGATACTTATGTTTCAATCTATTTTTTACGATCTGACTATAAGTTTTATGACTTTAAGTATTTTTTAAAAGGATATGGGTGTATGTTGAAAGGGCTATATGGTAATGAGACTAAACAAGTGCTGGAGAAATCACCCGAGGAAATTCAACCTGACCCATCATTTTGGTATTAAGAGTGGATCAATTCATTCCAGTACCCAACTTCGCGAGCCAAGGGTGTTCAATACGATACTCTAATAGGAGAGTATCGTATTGAACACCCTTGGCTCGCGAAGTTGTCCAGTACATGATTGTGTTTTTTTTTTATGTCAAACTTAAATTTACAATGCAATCTCAACCCTATTTTTATCTACACGTGATGGGAACAAACGAGTGGAATTGTTTTAAAATTTAAATCACAAGACATTTCTACACTGCTACATGTATTATAAACGATGCATCACCACAAGCTTGAACTAGCTTTCAGCGATGCCACATCAGCGATTTTAAAAGCTACTGAGAAAGCAAAGGTGTTAATAAGTTATTTGTATCGATATCTTAGAGGTCGGGCAGTTGTTAAAATGCATGGTGGTTCACTATGTTGAGACTTAGCATATCACCTATTTTTATTTTATTTGGGAGCCATTAAAACGTAAAAAGACCAACCCGACTACGTGGGTAAGCAGACGACGGGAAGATCAATCGGGGACCAATACAGGGGGCCTGTTCGTTTATGCGGAACAACCGGTTTGACCGTTTATAAATGTAACAATTTCAGGTATAAATTCTGGCGGACCTGCAAATGTGTATGCAGGCCTTGCAAGGCTTTCTCAAGGCTCGCCTGAAAGCAGCATCAGATTACTAGGTCCGACCTTGTTTAATAACCGAACAACAGTGGTCCGATCGGTTTGACCGTTTAAACGAAAACGGCCCTGGTATTTCTCGTTTACGGAAAGTGCCGACGGTTTCCGATTGCGGGAAGATGTAGAGTGTTTTTAAACCTTTTTCCTAAACAAAATGATTGTTTTGCGCTTTCGGCATGTATCTGTAATCGCTGACTTTCCAATCAATCTGTACACATTTCACGAGGTTGTTCTTAGTTTTGTATGTTATAAGCGACCGTAGCTTTTCAGTGTTGTAAGCGATGTTTATTGGCGTCTCGTGATCATTACGAAAACATAACAGAAGTTGTCATCAAACAAGATGGGCCTCCCTTTTGTAACTGTGTTCATTCTCGTTACGGCTGTTGGTGCGAAAGTCTATGAGTTTGAGTTCAACTCAAACAAAAGGGTCTCATTCAACAGAAAACCAGCTTGCCTTGATGACTCGTTCAGAAAGGGGATACTACCAGTAAGGTAAATACCAGCCAAGTCATGATCATATGATGTTATGTCACAAGTATATAAAAGTGGGCGTCACGTACAGTGACTCCTATATTCATATGTCTTCCGCCTAATAGTAAAATGGGATTTGTCCATGTTGTCCGGGGTCTGAAAAAACTAACTATGTTGAAAAATGATGCGGCGGAGAAAGCTTAAGTTGATCTCCGCTCCATGATAAACTTTTTGATTAGTGTTGGGAATAACTTGTAAATTTATACTCGGTCATCACTTCCAATAATAGTGACTGATGATATATTAATGATCGATCAAATTGAACTTAAATTCAATCATTTTTTTTTTCCGAAATCTACTTTCACTTTCGTTTCCGGGGAAAACCCGACGTTGGAGAATTTCGCTAATAACGCACAACATTCATACAAAAACAATACGTTTGTTGATAGAACTTTATATTTATTGAAAAATTGGTATTTGGAAATGAAATTGATGATGTTTGCAATGTCCATTAAATATGTTGTGACAGCTGCATCTCGTATTCAGAAATCCTGTGATGGATTGGCATTCACCTGATGACACTCCGTCAAACCACGGAATTAGATTTATTTGTAAGATAGCCCACACGTTTTATTTATATCCAGCTAAGGAGGAACAATACCTTCCAAACGTTTGATTCAGTAGCCCCTAGATGATCATAGAGTTTAATCTCCGGAATGTCCTGAGACTGAGCAATGCAGCATTTCCATTAAAACACAAGTTCTGATTGGTTGCCAGGTGGACCAGCTCGCGGTCTGTGGTAAAACCAACAACTATCCGAGTTATTTTTTTGTTATATACTTAAATTAGTCAAACTATAATCGATCATGGAAAACAAGGATTGATTAACGGATTTTCAGAAACAAACAACCAGACGTCGACTAAATCGATAAATCAGAACAACATTATTTTTGATATATCAGTTACTTCGGTCTGAATGAAACTCACACTTGATTTTGAAAATCCAGGCCCTTATCATTTCTTGGTGACCGACAACAGTTTGGGAAGTCATTGTTGTAATCATTTAATGAAGTTGAAGACAACAACAGTGATTAACTTGTTCTAAAAGTCATCAAACTGTATAGTACATGTACATTTAGCTGTGAATTGTATTCATAAATAAGGATGAATTTGAGCTGATGCTTAATTAGCAATAATTCAAAGTCTGTTTTTGTTTTACTTCTAGGACATATCCCAGACCCCATGAGTACCTAGACATGAATGACCTGCCTAAGGCCTGGGACTGGCGTAATATAAATGGCACCAACTTCTGTAGTACGACTCGTAATCAGCATATTCCTCAATGTAAGTAATTATATGTATATATCATTTCATATGATATGAGCAGGGGGTAACATTTGTAACAGGATGGGAAAATGTACAGCCAGGCAGAAATTTGTTGATAAGCTAGTACTATGGTTATATATAATCAGACAAATAATATGTACTATTTCATATTAATCTCTTTACTAAAGTATGTACAAAATCATATACATTGTGACTGTCCCATTGGACAAGTAAATACTATATATATGATGTTTGGTACCAGACGATGGAACATTAGCCTTGAATTGCTGTAAGCTATCTACTATAAAATGCATTAATTGATCGTCATTGGTAGATTGTGGTTCTTGCTGGGGTATGGGATCTACAAGTGCCATTGCTGATCGTATTAACATAAAACGGAAGGGAGCCTGGCCGTCCTCTTATCTCTCCGTACAACATGTTATTGACTGTGCTGGTGCTGGCTCATGTGACGGGGGTGATGACCTGCCAGTGTACGCCTACGCCAACAAGCATGGCATCCCAGATGAGACATGCAACAACTACCAAGCGAAAAATCAAGGTATGACTCATGTTTCTTCTGGACCTGACCACAGACATATAAAAAATATATATACATTTTGACAGGTAGATGTCTGGTGTGGGGCCAGAGTGCACTACTATATTAAAATTGTGGAATTTTGGTGTCGGAGCCGGAGGAAACTCTAGCTAAACTCATGTCATATACTATATGACTTTTCACATTTATACATTTAGGATAAAATGTCCCACCCCATTGTACAGAATTTGGTGTAAAAGCCAGAGGCTTGTCAAAATTATTAACACAAACTGTGCATGTGTACCCAAGTCAGTGTTGAGGCTTTATGGCCTTCTGGCGCAGAGAGAATTAAGAGTGTACCCAAGTATATAGGATACATTGCTTTATTACAAGATTACATTGTACCTATGATTGATTTCTTTCATTGCTTAATAGTTTGTTTGACCAACTTGTGTAGCGACAATTTTGTGGCAAAGTATCAACTGTTTTAATACTGAAGAGTTATCTTTACCAATCGAAAGAGCGCATGTCAACATAGATTCTTCGAAAAAGATTAAAATGACGTCAAATGTGATGCTGCATGACATCATGATTGACATCATCCCATTGTCTTTGCATTGTGATGTCATGCCCATGGTAGATAGTTCTATTTTACACGGCTTTCCATTATAGGATAACTATATCTTACAAGGCTGAAGAATTGTAAGATTACAAGCAAGCTTAAGGCTGGCTTTGAAAGAATGTATTCTCCAAGAGGCCCAAAACTTAGTTATGACATGTATATTAAACAATATCAACCAGTACTGTAGGCTAAAACTTAGGTATGACACATGTCACACTTATGTAATACATTTGTTGACCTTTTTGTAATATAAGTGTAACAGGAGCAGAAACATTCACGGCCAGACAGGGTTCGAACCCGCGACCCTCCAAACTCTAGACAGACATTCTATCAACTGAGCTACGTGGTCCTTGATGATCGACCCAGCTCAGTTCTGCTACATTCCTCCCTCCTTTAACAACGTCTTCTACCCCGAAGACACACAAGACCCTATACTACCTTCTGTGGGTATTTTTTGTTGGGTGCCAAATGTAACAGGAGTGATAAAATTCATGGCCAGACCGAGGTTTGAACCCAGAACCCTCAGAACTCCAGAGGTACTTTCTTCTAATTAATCTAGTTTTGCTACATAAGGAAACATGCTTGATTCCTGGTGTTTCCCCGAGCTGAAGTGAAACATGATTAGTTTCACCTTTTTTATCTTTCCTTATAAAAAAGGGCAATAAAGATTTCATAATACTGAAATGGAAAAAATAAGACAACAGAGTAAAGATGATTAGATTGATGCACCATTGTTGTCGTCTGCTTCAGTCACTTAGAACTCAGGTGTGATGCCTCTTGCCCATTTTTTTAGAGGCTACAAATAAGGGAGAAGATATATATATGACTGGGAAAACTTAAGTGCATTATAGGGCAATGCAATATTATTTTTCCATGTCATGTGATCAATATCATCCAATTAGACAAACTATTACATAGATACTAAGCTATAATTTAATATGTATACAATATTGACAAACAAGAGAAAAAATAGTATGATGCATATTACACAATATAGACAACAAAAAACTTATTGAATTTGCTCATGGCCCATCAAAAGTCTTGCAGGGTCATAAGCAAATTCCATATATATAATTTTGTTTATACCAACTCAACTGAAGAACAAATAATTACAGAGAGCTTGCATTGATGTGGATTGCCTTTGAGAAGTGAAAAGGAATCCTTGTTTATTTTCATTTATTTGATGTATTTGTTTGTTTTTGTATATTTAAAGAATGTAATACATTCAATGCCTGCGGGACATGCACAACCTTTGGACAATGTAGTCAGCTAAAGAACTACACTCTATGGAGAGTGGGGGACTATGGTTCTGTTATAGGCAGGGACAAAATGATGGCAGAGATTTACCAAAATGGACCCATAAGGTAAGTATATACCTTGTATGTACTTGTAAGCATAATACTGAAACACAAATTATGAGGTAAGCAAATTATGATACAGTTAAACTTCCATATCTCTTGATGTGTCAAACTTACAGCAAAGTCCAAATTTCCCCCCTTGTATATGACACTTCTGATATTCCTTCTATCAACCCAGACTGTTATAAGTCTTATTTCTCTCTGTTTTAAATTGTAATCAAGGTCCAATCATTATGAAAATGAAAGCATTGAAAATTTCATCTAATAAATTGAAGTAAAACAATTACCAAGGTATGGGAAGATTGAAATGGCCTGCGGTAACAATAGCACATTTAACATGGAAACTACAGAGAATAAATACATGTAAAAAATATTTGTCTGATTGTTTAGATCCAATGTTTTTCAATTTCATATTAAATTTCTTGCTTCGTGTTCCCTCTCTTCACAATCACATTCGGTCTTATGCAGTTTATACAGGATCTCAAAGGTGTTAAAAGTTTAAAATTTGTGAGCAGAAGTCTCCAATATATTACTTTAATGGTTAGTTTGCTACTGATTTGATTACTTTTACACTGGAAGTATAAAAGTGACTGAGAGAGAGAGAAGAAAGTGACTGAGAGAGAGAAGAGAGTGACTGAGAGAGAGAAGAAAGTGACTGAGAGAGAGAAGAGAAGAGAGTGACTGAGAAAGAGAAGAGAGTGACTGAGAGAGAGAGAAGAAAGTGACTGAGAAAGAGAAGAAAGTGACTGAGAGAGAGAGAAGAGAGTGACAGAGAGAGAGAGAGAAGAGAGTGACTGAGAGAGAGAGAGAGAAGAAAGTGACTGAGAGAGAGAGAAGAGAGTGAGAGAGAGAGAGAGAGAGAGAAGAGAGTGACAGAGAGAGAGAGAGAGAGAGAAGAAAGTCACTAAGAGAGAAAAGAAAGTGACTGAGAGAAAAGAAAGTGACTGAGAGAGAGAGAAGAAAGTGACTGAGAAAGAGAGAAGAAAGTGACTGAGAGAAAGAAGAGAATGACTGAGAAGGAGAGAAGAAAGTGACTGAGAGAGAGAAGAGAGTGACTGAGAGAGAGAAGAAAGTGACTAAGAGGAAGAGAAGAAAGTGACAGAGAGAGAAGAGAGTGACTGAGAGAGAGAAGAAAGTGACTGAGAGAGAGAGAAGAAAGTGACAGAGAGAGAAGAGAGTGATTGAGAGAGAGAAGAGAGTGACTGAGAGAGAGAGAAGAAAGTGACAGAGAGAAGAGAGTGACTGAGAGAAAGAAGAAAGTGACTGAGAGAGAGAAGAGAGTGACAGAGAGAGAGAGAAGAAAGTGACAGAGAGAGAAGAAAGTGACTGAGAGAGAAAAGAAAGTGACTGAGAGAAAATAAAGTGACTGAGAGGAAGAGAAGAAAGTGACTGAGAAAGAGAGAAGAAAGTGACTGAGAGAGAGAGAAGAGAGTGACTGAGAGAGAGAGAAGAAAGTGACTGAGAGAGAGAAGAGAGTGACTGAGAGAGAGCAGAAAGTGACTGAGAGAGAGAAGAGAGTGACAGAGAGAGAGAGAGAAGAAAGTGACTGAGAGAGAGAAGAAAGTGACTGAGAGAGAGAGAAGAAAGACAGACAGATACATAGTTTATTAATGTAGTGTACAGTAGTTATATAATGGACAGACAGACAGACAGACAGACAGATCATTGTTCGGAGAACGCAGAGAGATACAGACAGAGGGGGACACAGATATATAGGTTATATAATTGTAAATTATGAGACAGCTGAGGGATAAAGAATTTATGAAATGTACATGTAAGTTATGAGACAGAGGGATAAAGAATTTATAAAATGTACATGTAGGTAATGACACAGAGGGATATAGTATTTATAAAATGTACATGTAAGTTATGAACTGAACTGAGAAACTGATTTCCTTGAAATAGAGACTTATACAGCTAATTTTGTCTATAGACGATGATGAAATTAATATCCTGAACAAGAGAGTGTTATACAATATAATGTTATGCCTTTGCTCTGTTTCAGCTGTGGTGTTATGGCAACTGATACCTTAGAGGCCTACACAGGTGGTATTTTCAAGGAAAAGCATTTATTGCCAATGGTGAGTGTAAGAGTTTTTTCTGCAGCCATTTTGGGGCTGAAATTTTGCCCAATTCTCAAGGGAAAATAATGCTATCATTTCCAAAAACCTCCAAAAATTCCAAATCTCACAAAAAATACCAAAAAAAAATTGTTTTCAGATGATAATGCAACAGGAACACCTAAAATAGAATAATCTTTCATAAATAAGGATGTTTTAGTCTTTTAAATGGTACGTTGCAGACAAAATCATAATAGTCTTTTAAATGGTACTTTGCAGACAAAATCATAATTTGATGAAATTCTGAATGTTTTCAATTTTTAGCTCGCATGGCTTGAAGGACCATGCTGAGCGTATGTCATACTGTGGTGTCCGTTATATGTCTGTCATCAACACTTTATTTCTTCAATCATACTTTTTCTGAAATGTGGGTTGGAAATTAACCAACATTGACTAGTCAGAAGCATTCTTAGGTGTAGTGGAGATCCCAAATTGTACAAATTGAGAAAAATGTCTTCAAGTGCTGGTGGGGAATTAAAAGCTGTTCCTTAATTGAAGCCTTAGGGCTCATCTGTAGGGCTGAGGGGTGAGACCAAAAATGAGTTTATAACTTGGAAATGGTTGAGATCCCCACCCTATAACCACATATACTATTGCTGAGTATAAAGACTTGAATACTCATATGCTACCAGGTTAGCTCAGGGGTCTGGCCCCACCCCTGAAGATATAGTCCCTGGGTCATACCTTGAAATGATTGATATTCCCTTATCATAACTATATATGCATTAGGAGACGAAAACAATCATGACATTTGAATTTACCCTTTTTGATGAACCCCCACGCCTTACTTCCTTGGTCAATATTTGAGAACCCCCCACTATAAACATGTATGCAATTGATGAGTACAAAGAGATAAATAAAGTTATGTTCCAAAGATGGTCCCAGAGTCTTTCTTCATCCTTAGCTTGAAGACATATAGTCCATGGGACACAACTTGTATATGGTTGTGATCCCTGTCCCTAAACCATTTAACCCTTTCTGGGCATAGAGAGACAAACAAAACCATATTAGAATTGACCCTAGGGACTAAGCCCCAGGGTCATAGCATGGAAACCATTTAAATCCCCGCCCTATGCCTATTTAGTTAAAAGTTGAGCATAAAGAGACAAATACACCAGGATTGACCCCACAGTTGGTGAACAATATTTTGAACCAGCTGAGATCCAACGCCTTTATCAAATAATTATACAATTGCTGGGCGTGAACAATCTTATACAGATAACAGATATGCTAACAGAATTGACTTCTGGGTCAGCCCCACCCCTGGAAACTTAAATCCCTGGGTCAAAACAGGGAAATGGTTAAGAACCGCTCCCCATAATCAGACATATGGCATTGCTGGACATGAACGTGAAGAGATTAACACAGTCATGCTACCAGAAGTAGCCATGGGGACTTGCAAATAGTCCCAGCTGGGTTAAAGAATGGAAACATTTAAGATCCCCCTCCTATAAGAAACAATATAGGATTTGGATACAGATACATGCTACCATAATTGGCTCTGAGGACTGGTTCTAACCCTGAGATTATATTTGTTATTCATACTGGTTAATAGAGTATTGACATATTTCTGTGATCCACTATGGATGCAGACACAAGGGTGAGGACCATTTAATCCCTGATGAATGCCAGCTGACTAGGCCTGAAAGCTTGGACATCGAGTGACTGTTGCTGTTTATTTTGTAATGTTCCCCGTTAGAATTTTGTGATGGACTTTTATAGGATTGTTGAATTTTTGGCCATAATCGCTTAACTCATTCACCCCTGAAATTTTATATTGGACTATTCCAACCTTTGCACTGGAAGAGTTAAAATGTGTCTTCAGGGGTGAATGAGTTAAGTATCCAGGTGATACACTGGACTTCTGGGCCTCTTGTCAGAGTTAGTGGTGCATATGGTAAACATCTATACAAAAAAGGTGTTAATTTCTGATAAATATCCTCAGATTAATTTGATTGATACCCACCAGTTCTTTGCTGTAGTGTGTTATGAGTAAGTGACATATTTTGACAGTGATGTTTATGTTAATACGACAGGTGAACCACATCATATCTGTAGCAGGATGGGGAGTAGACGAGGCCACCAACACCGAGTTCTGGATAGTGAGGAACTCCTGGGGGGAGCCATGGGTAAGTAGCATCTCATCTAGCCAAACTCTCTAAACTAGTAGAGATAGACATGGACGAATGAAGCATCTGACTTAGCCAAACTCTCTAAACTAGTAGAGATTAGTCTTTGATGTATGTGTCTTATTACTTAGCTATAAATACATCTCCAAACATGTAGCGATTAGACATTATGCACATATTGCATCAATTAGCCACACTTTCTCTAAATATGTATAGATCAAATGTTGATGTATGTGGCATTTTACTTAGCAACACTTCTACACTTGTAGGAATTACACATGCATATACAATGTGTTTAACTTTAGCCACAATTCCTCGTCATAATCATAAACATGTAGAGATTAAACATTGATGTACATAGCATATCACTTAGCCACACTTCCTTAACACATTAAGAGATAAAAAATCCATCAATTATTGCTTCAATTAGCCATCTTTAATTTCCTCTAACTGTAAGCATGTAGAGGTTAGATGTTAATGTATTTGGTATGTTATTTAGCCAAACTTCCTATAAACATGTAAAAATTATACATGATGTACATATCTTATTTAGCCACACTTCCTTTAAACATGTAAAAATTATACATGATGTACATATCTCACTTAGCCACACTTGCTCTTCCCATGTAGAGATTTGATGTGGATGTACACCGTGTATCACTTAGCAATACTTCCTGTAAGCATATCACTGAAAAGGTTCATCGAGTCTTTTTTATATGCTTTGTAAAAACGATGTTCTCATCCAGACAGTTTCTCTGACATTCTGCCAGCTTTAATTGGTCACTGTCTAATAAGAACATTGTTTTACATAGCAGTGACTCGATGAAATTTGCACATATACCTGTAAGCATGCAGGAATGGGGCTTGGATATACACTGAGTAATTTAGCTTCTTAATTTACAGGGACTAGATATGAATAAATGTAGTATAGATCTCATTTAGCCATACCTTCTCTGTCTTGCTATTCATTGTGTTTCATTGGTACAGCTAGCTACCTACATATGAGAATGTTTGACAATAAATTTAAATGCTAGCACAGAATAATTCTCTTCATTAAAAACAAATGGATAAATAAAAACAAAATGTGTTTTTCTTGCAGGGGGAGCATGGCTGGTTCCGTATTGTCACCAGTAGATACATGAACGGCAAAGGGGACGAATACAACCTGGCTATAGAGTCACGCTGTAGCTTTGGTGATGTCATTGTCCCAAAAAGCTACTTACCATAATGATGAAAGCGAAACTTCAAACAAACACCCATTATATTAAACCTGATTACACCTTGTGTATGAAGCTTCAAAGACAATAAAAAAACTGAAGTCTGCAATTTAAACCTTTGTGTACATATAACAAAATGCTGGCTTAAGTATTCCTGCATATTTTTTAACGTAATGCCAACTTATTTTTATTGTTACACTAAATTTGTAATTGAATGTAAGAAAGCAAGCCACAGCAGGCATCTATGCAAACTATTTGTATTTTAATTTCTAGCTGTTTGTAGCAAATCTTGCATAATGTTTGATGCAGTCATTGTTAAAGATATATATTAAGGGGTCTGGATGAGATAAAGAGATCTGTGATTTTTTGTAGTCATTCCAATTTGTATTGCATTTACATGTATACTGTAATCTGTTGCAATATTGAAGGTGCTCATTACTGAGCAACGCTATGTGATATGTGTGCAGTTTAGTAAATAGTATACATGAAGAGTGGGTGATATCATGTTTAAATGAATAACGGTCAATGTCAGTTACGTTATAAAATTATTATTGAAAGGAATTTTTCCTTACCTTGTAGATTAATAGAATCTTCCCCTACCTTGAGGGTGTGACAGGGAAATCTCCAACCCGAAGGGTAATGTTTTTTGGTTGTCTTGCCTCGAGTTAGACAACCAAAAAAATCACCCCAGGGGTTGGTGATTACTCTGTTACACCCTCAAGGTAGGGGATGATTATTGTTCTCCCATCCTATTATTTCAGTCACAACTCCACCGACAGCAGTCTGCCATGTTTGTAAACAAAAACACATGTGGGGTATGCATATCGTCATCCTCTTTTGATGACGTCACAATTACCGATGACACATTTTAATGACGTCACAATTGAACACATGCTGATTGACACGAGGCTATCTCCCCCTAGGGGGTGACAAGCTGATCTTTCCTGGCTAAAACGGGAGACACACCTGTGAAGGGTTGAAGAAATGATAAACTTTGATCAGTTTCTGCTGTCAGAAATGTTTCATAAATTCACTGTGTATTTTGACTCCTACAGGTAGGCTATATTTTTGAGATATTAACGAAACAGTTTCTACAAAATTCAAATTTGGTTTTAGATATATAACAGCAAGCCATTTGATATGTGCAAATCAATAAGGTGTCTGGCTTCTTAATGGCTTTGTGTACATCCCTTGTTTCACATCAAATCAACATTTCCATACATATCATAAACTGCAATGGATATTTGAAGTTGCGACAAGAATAAGACAGATATCACATACGTTCTTCTCTCGTTACTTGATAAAACAGCATACTACACAAACTACATGTATGGAGGAAAGAGATGAGTTATCTCCCCTTGAACACTGATCGGCATGGTTTCTATACACCATTAAGTCCTGGAAGATCACTCACGACCCCTTGGAACATCCTTTCAATCTACCCATGCTATCTATTTGTTGAGATAGCTATAGGGAGACAGCTTTTTCAGATAGTAATACTCACCTTTTTTCATCTTGTAAATCCCATGCAACAAAATAAGGGGGAAGAGTATGCTAGAATTGGGTTGTAACGTGTATTGTAATTGTGCAACTTGATGTCAACCTACTCTACAAACACTGACTATAGTGTTATTTGTTTTTTTACGTACAATGTATCGGGAAACATTCCTGACCATACAAAGACTACTCGACTGTGTAAGATCAATTAAATCTGTAATCGTCCATTATAGTTATGATTAAATAGAAACTTCATGAATTTTGCAAGGATTATATAATAAGTTGTCTAACTTATGTTACCCTTGTTGGCCTTGATGTAAGCATTTGGGGGGGTCTTAATGTGGGAGGAAACCAGAGTACCCAGAAAAAAACCCACATGGTCAAGCAGGTGACCCCATACCTTTTTACATCCGATCTGGGAATCGAACCTCGGCCACCTTGGTGAAAGGCAAGTGTTACCACAGACCACCCAATAATAGCACAACTGTTATACATGTATACAAATATTGCCATACATAATGGCTATTTGGCTGTAGTTTCAACATAATAATTACTGTGTGTATAATATATCTGGTCTCTATGATTGGATACCGTCTCCATTTGATATGACTATAATGATTGGATACCGTCTCCATTTGATATGGCTATAGTGATTGGGTACCGTCTCCATTTGAAATGACTATAATTATTGGATACCGTCTCCATTTGATATGCCTATCATGATTGGATACCGTCTCCATTTGATATGCCTATCATGATTGGATACCGTCTCCATTTGACATGACTATAATGATTGGATACCGTCTCAATTTGATATGACTATAATGATTGGATACGGTCTCCATTTGATATGACTATAATGATTAGATACCGTCTCCATTTGATATGACTATAGTGATTGGGTACCGTCTCCATTTGATATGTCTATAATGATTGGATACCGTCTCCATTTGATATGACTATAATGATTGGCATACTCTGTTACCAACTTTTGAATGTTATTTTTCATATGCCCTGTCCTCAGCTAAAATAAATCAAAGAATTTTTGTTGAAATTACTATAAATGTATATATTTGAGCAGTTTTCTTAGTACATGTATATTTGTTTTCACGCTTTAACCCACTGCACTATTTTTATGATTGCACTAATTGAAATTTTTGTTTGGAATTTTTCTAATGCGCTTATTTTGAGTGCGCATCAATGTGCTTATCTATTCAAATTTAATTATATTCTAAAATGTGTGTCCACTAAACGAAGGAATCTTGCAGTATGTTAATGCAGTAAATTTCATTCATAAGAAAGGTTTACCTGCCATTTGATATGCTAATACTGGTTTGCTTGTTCCATTACTTTTGACTGATACTTTACATTACCTGTCCTCAACTGAAATACAATAGAGCATATTTTGATGAAATTTAATATAAATTTGTAGTAAATCTCAATATTAACAAGAAAGGACTATGTTTCGTGTTACTATATTTGATATTTCTGATGGTTATCCAGAGTATACAGCCTGTCCTCAGTTAAAATAAATTAAAGTAAAAAAAAATCAATTTGATATAAATATGTAGTAAATCTCATTTATAAGAAAGCCGGGCTATGTTTTGTGCTGCTATGATTGATACTTCTGATGGGTATCCAAAATATACAGCCTGTTCTGAGTTAAAATACATCAAAGTATTTTTTGTTGGAATTTATATTTATGAAGGAGTCAAATCTCATTGATGAAAAAAGCACTACCTCTCATGTTATCATATTTGAACTAAATACATTTTTACTTTTGATACATTTAAGACGAATTACATTATTTTAAAGTGTTTAGATCTGTCTCTTAACCAGTTTGATATGTTTATTTGTTTGTTTATTATTATTCTTTCAACACAGAAAGGTCACATTGGGCCTGTAGTGTCAAAAATAATCGCAAAAGACTTGACACATATCAAAATCATCTAAGAGGTTGACATAAATAAAATGTTAAAATCAATGTGTTCGAGAAGTGTCAACACCATATTACGTTTGTGTAGAGATATATTTCCTATGTATGCTTGATAATAATTTTCACTGAGACTTGTTCAAAAGTGATTTCATGATTTTGTACATTGTAATATTTATATTCCAAACTTGTTTTAGATCCTTACACGTTACTGTGCTATGTTCAACAGAGAATGCAGTATCACAAGCAAAAAGCATCAAGTCAGTCTTCACCCTTAAATGTATGACTCATTCTATTTCAGACTAAAACTATATGTAGATTTTGTGCATGTCGCTGAGAAAATAAATGATCTACATATTTAAATAATTCGTTGAAATATCTGTTTTGAAATGCTATTTTTGTGCCTTCTACTCGGGGAAGCAGTAGTAAATATGCTGCACCCCATTAAACATTGGGATCTTCATATACTTTCTCTCTTATTCCATAAATTCTGGGGCTGATCTGGAAAACCATGCAAGATGGCCAACAGGCGGACATCTTTAATGTTGAGAGTCTGTAAGGAGGCTGCAGCCATCCTGAATTTTGACAGTTCAGTTTTGTTATCACTCTTCTCAAGAAGTACATGCATGACTCAATCCAACAGATAAGTGAAAGGAAGAGAAAATAATCAGTCTTACATAAAACAAATGAAGATAATACGATGGTAGGTGCCAAGATCCTTCTGGGATCTCTTATGTTTTCTATCTGATTTTTCATGAATCGACATTATCATCTATTTATGCCATGCAGTTCCATACATTACAAACACTACCTAGTTACATGTCTTAAGAACTGGGTCCGGCTCTCCAAACAGGGAGAAGAAGGTACAATTTAATGAGCCACTATGAGTTTTGCCTGGCTTGTAAATTAATCTGGGGTTCAACTAATAAGTGATCAAATATTCTAGGGTAGACAGGAAAATCTACAAGATACAAGAAACTTTATTTAACGTCGCATACAGGTAAACAAGGAACATTAGCTCTTGAGAGCTATTATTGGGACAAACATATTTAAAATAACAATAACATATTATATTACAAGTAAAGGGAGATAATCACATATATTAATAAAAAACAGTTATAATCATCACAGAAAAGGAAGTATACATATCCCAGGTTTCTAAGTGATTGGGAGTCCCCTACCTACAAAGGCCCCGGGATATATATATATATAAATAGTGTTAATGTATGAAAAGCATTAAATGTGATCACAGATAAGTAGTATTCAGAATAAGTAAATAAACGACATAGTTAATAGTGAATGAATACTTGTATATCACACAAGAATTACTTACATGTAGGACTTAGGATTAAAACACAATGAAATGGAATATGCATACAATGCTAATATAGCAAAGAATAAAAATTGACAGAATATACACTATTATAGTGTGAATTAAAAATGATACCGAAATCAATTAACAAAATTTATCAAGTTTTGTAAAACAGAATATTTTAGAATATATGGAATTAAAATACAAATAAGATGCTGCAAAAATATAGAACAGAATTAAAACATATAAGAAATGAAATAAGACAATAAAAGTATCACACAATCCAAAATGTCAGGTGGCAGAGGTAACCAGGGCACAGTATGAAGTATCACTCTTTGCAGGAATGGACCAGCCTCCTGAATTCTTTGAAGTTTTCAACTTTTCGGAAGTCATTTGGGAGACTGTTCCACACCCGGTCGATGTAGTGTAGGTGCTACTAGATCAACGCTAGTACAATCGAACGTGGGATTCTGACGATAGTGTAGGTGTCAATATACCCGACTCACACTCGATGATTTGTATCCTGATGCAATTTCAGCACAATTATTTAGTCATTCACAAGAAAACATAAACACCAACATACATAGAAACACGTCCTTTATTGACCTTAGCTGTTAGTAGGACGCTTAATCAATAAAACAAAATTAAAACCAGAACTACTAAAAGCAAATGTTACTATAAGGAAACACACCCGTGCAGGTTCTGAGAATTATTACGACTGCTGTATCCCAATGCAATGTATTCCTAGACACCGTTAATATACCCCTGGTTGTTGCGAAGACGTGAGTCCCGATTGAAATAAAAGTGAACATTATAATGATACTTAGGAAAAAGAATATAAACAGTACTGTTTTTTGTAATATTCCTACGCCGATCTGAGAGTCAAGTACTCCAGAAATAAGGGAAGATCA